TATATATATATATATATTCAACTGGTTTATCGTTTCTTCCGCTTGCTTTAAATTTTCGCTTATAACTGTTGATTCACACTTGTTAAAGAAGTAAAATGGGAAATAAGTAATTTGTGCAAATGGTCGGCTTGCCTAGCTTCCACTAGTAGGCGCCAGCACAACTCCTGAGGGTAAAAAAATCCGGATCGTGACATTTATACTATATGCAAGTTTCTACAATATTATATTGTAAACATAATTAAGAAAAAGTTAATTTTTTCCATAATTAAGAAGCGTATGAATATTCTTTTTCTTACAGTTATGTTACATAATTAAGGAAAGGATTTATAGATTTTAAAATCTTAATTGATTTAAAAGTCCTAAATATAAGACTTTAGTTTAAATAAGGAAATATATTATAACCAAAATTTTATTCTATTTCAAAGTCTTAAATATTAGGAATATAACTAAATGACCATTTTGTCCCGTGTAAACTCTACTATTAAAGGATAAAAAAGACGAACGACATTTCGCTTATTTAAAAGTCCTAAATATAAGAATTTAGTTTAAATAAGGAAATATATTATAACCAAAATTTTATTCTATTTCAAATTTTTAAATATTAGGAAAATAACAAAATGACTACTTTGTCCAGTGTAAACTCTACTATTAAAGGATAAAAAAGACGAACAACATTTCGCTTAGGACCTTCGTGCTTTTAATATAGTCTATATATATATAGATATAGATAGATAGATAGATAGATATAGATGAAGGATTTAATACTGCGTGCCAATGATCAAATCTTCTAATTTCGATCTCAATTAAGCGTCAACATGTTATCGTTTTAAAATTTTAAAATACATCATAAGAAATTAGGAAAAATGTACTAGTATAAATTAAAATTATTAGTAATAATTAAAAGTTATTTAAAAAGAATTAAAAATATGTACTCGGTGTTTATACTAAATCAATAGATGCATGATATATTTTATGCATATGGACTTCAAATATTTAACTAGCGGAAATAAGATTTGAAGTTTTTGGGTTCTGAATTTGTTACAAAACTCATAGCTCGTCTTAATTACTGAGTTTGTAATTAAATACTTTTATATATTTGATAAAAAATTTGTTACAAACACAATATTTAAGTAAAAGTAATTGAGTTCAACTAAAAGCGCACCGAATAAGCTAGCTCCGCCTCTACATTTAACCATAATTAATTATATGCCTTCTGACCTTATTAATCACTCAAGTATAATATATATATATATATTTATGAATAGAAAAGGTGACGTGGCACATCTCAAAGCTCAAGGAAGTCCATCTTTTTTTTCTCATTTTATTTTGGCTTTTATCCCTTATTTCATAATTTGAAGAAAATTAAGTATAGTGTATCATATTTATATCATTACATTTTAATGTCATTTATTTCTTCCCACGTTTCTTTTTTACCAAAACCTCTTTACACTTCTGATGATGAGTATAACTCATTTTATCCATTTGTATGGAAGTTATAACTGAAGAAACTCAAAAGTTTCTAACATACTGGTCACTCTCTTCCGCAAATATATCACCTGAACAACAAAAATCACCATTTATTTTATTGAAAAAGCCTAGGGGTCTGTAACTGATCCAATGCACTAATATAATATCAATTGAACATTAAGCATCTTTGTAAATAAAAAAGCTTAACTGACATGAAACCTCAATTTGGCTATAAAGGGACGCTATAATGAGGAAATGGATTTTCTTGATGAGCCCGTTTTAAACTTAGAGTAATTGAGTGGGAAGAAAGTCCTTTGTATCTATTTGATCCAAAGTTTGCAGAGAAATTGACATGAAATTCCGTGTACTTTGTTAGCAGGTATGCTTATATATCTTTGGTTTTTTATTTTAATATTTCTTTTTTGCATGTAATTTTTCTCTTTTATAAGGGCAATGGACATTAGACGATCTTTCACTAATTGCTAAACAGTACACTGTTGATTAGATAGTTGTTAGTCAGTCTTCTTATTTCCCTCTGTTTACACTGTAAGATTAAGATGATTTTATTCTTGGTTGTGGTTCAAGATGCCTTCTATATATTAATTAATTGATAAATTCAACATATTGGTTTTTTCGACTACTCTTTCTTCTGAATGCATATGATATATTCCCAATATATAATATGAAATTTCTTTGATTACACACACTTTCAATTAATTTTTCTATAATAGAATTGCCATCAAGACTAGACTATACAACCATAGAAAAGCTGTCACTAGATGACAAATGGCTATTAGTACATGAATAGTGATATTTAAAAATCTACTTTTAGCCCCCGAATAAAGAAATCAAGCTCAAATTTTAATTTGATTTGTCATCATCTATTTCAATAAAGTTTATGCAGTAATTTTAACATCATTATGGCTTCTATCGATGTCCTTGGTGCCGTCAATTAAATTTATTTTTAGCCGAATGTAGAGTACAAGTTCTAAATTTATTAATGTACCGTGCAAGAGCGGGCAAAATTTACTAGTTGTAATATATTGGTGCAATTATCCGGGTGCGGAGTATTTAGGTTACGGTTCCTAATAGCCGGGTCCACACTGCTCCCAAACCGATATTCCCAAGCTCAGGGTTTGCGAATTCTAGGGATTATAAAAAGAGCTCTAGAAGCTTCTTTTCTCAAAATTCCAATTTTCCTCCATTTTGCACTTTCAAGTATCAGCACCTTACTCCGGAACTAGCACTCTTGCTCTGGTAAATCATCTAAATCTTAATTGCACTTCTGAATAAACTTCTCGTTTGTTTAATTTTTTTTAACTTTTGAAATATTTTGGTTGTCGGTGGATTTGATCGGCGGCAGGTAGCGCGTGCATCGGCATTCACGTGTGGACTTGCTTATGGAAACATTAAGCTCAAGTATCTCAGGGTATTTTCCTCCCCTTTAATCTTTTTTATTTTGGATAAATACTTAGTATACTGAAATGAAATTGGACTGAATAAAGCCGGATTCACATAGACTACTTTATACTTATGTAGCTGACTTTTTCTATTTTGCGATATAGAAGCTGCTGATTCATCGATTTTGATTTTTTTTTTTCTGATTAAAAAACTTGCCTACCATAAATTGATTAAAACAGATTTTGCACGGTGTTCATTCGATCTGTTACTTCAAGTTCCTTAAATTGTGGATTGTTATAATTGGCTGTAAATTGAAGTACCAGACATTTAGGGTTCCTTACAAAATAAAATTAGCTTGGAATAATGCGGAAAGATAGAGAAGATTCATATGGCCAACTTAGATAGTTTAGGATTGAGGTGAAGTTGGTTGTTTGATAGACTTTTAAAGTGTCAACCTGGCTTTTAAGAGATTAATATAAAATGAAAAGGCTTATGAATAGCGCAGAACAGATATATAAGATTCGTATAGCCAACTCAACCAGTCTGGAGTGAGTCATAGTTGGTTAATTGAATATTTTGAAAGTTTCAACCTGGACTGTTCTAGTCTTTTTCTTTTCTTGGATATGATGTTATGTTGTATATGTCCAGATATGATAACAAGCTCCATTTGCGAAGGTATTCTTAACATGATTTGCATTTTAAATGTAATCTGATAAAAGAATGCCCAAGTAGATGAGTGGACCAATTCCTAGATATTATTGTGAATTTTTTTTTGATGAAGTAAGTAGAATATATCATAAAATGCATCAGGAAGATGCAAAAGTTACAAAACAAGTGAGTTTGACAGCTCATTTACAATTAAGTGCTACAAAACTAAAGAGTTGACAAAGTCCAAAAAAACATCAGGTTGTAAGGTTAGCCCAGTGAAACAAATTAACCAAACATCTAGCCTTTGAGCAACCTATTGAAGTTGATAATCCATCAAAACATCTATTATTCCTTTCGACCCAGATACATCCTAGATATTATTGTGAATGAGGTGAATAGAAAGGTGAGGTTAACTTTCTAATTTTCTAATGTAAAAATTATATATGAGAACGGAGAAACTGAATGTCTCCCTAGGACCTGAGTTGTTTCAGATGGAATAAGTGTATTCAAGGACCTAGTGGAGAACTAGGGATTCTCTGCCTGAGTTCAAGACGCATGTAATGAGGACGTAGACTGAAATCGAGCCATTGTAACCTTTTTCTGTATGCTAAGTGGATTTCTTTATGAAAACACTAATCACTTCTTGGTGGCTGGTGATGTCAAAGTTGTTGTTTGAGCTATTTCCAGTTATGATAAACTGGAATTTGGAGAAGAGTTACTGTGAAGTTAAATGGTCGCTAATTGACATCATTGTTTGAGCAGATAAATGCTAAACCAATTAATGATAAGTTAGAGGGCGAATCTTAGTTGAACTTAAAAATTCTAGACCGAATAAAATAAAGCTCTTGTATAAGGAGTAGAGCTCAGGAGCATTAAACATCGAACTTAATATGCTATGATTGACAATAAATGTGATAGCATAAATGTATAATAAATGTAAGTAATGACAAAGACTATAACGGGAAAGGAATTATCACCCAATGATTATATGATTGGGATGTTCCTTCTCTCTGACGGCGACATGGAAAGCGAGAGGTCAAAATGTATATGGGATCTTGAGATTTATGGATAAAGATTGAACAACGTGTGCTTGAATAAATAAATAAGACAACTGTTTCGTATATTCTTCTTTCAACTTTTACAATATGTTCCAGTTCAGAAAGGTAGATCCCCTTTTTGTTCCCTATCCTTTCATATTTATAAGGGACATTCCCCCAAACCCTAAAAAGTACAGTATAAAGAATATCCAGAGGAATATCTTTATGTCCACTTCTGAACCTAAGTTACCGTTACTATCCTATCTCAGCTGCCCTCCTTTGGCATCAGCCTTTGTGAGAACAGTCTTCAGTTGCTCTATTGTGGTCGACCCCGTCCTTTGTCCTGCTTATTTGTTACCGTGCTCGCCAAATTTGGACCTATGCAGTTAGTCCCTCCACTTGTTGAGGTCGTAGTCCTGCATGTCCTCGATAAGCGGACATCATTTACTTTCGCTTCGGGAGATTTTGGCTATTGAATCAAGCCGGGTCGACCAGGGTCGAGAGAACAACACAACTAATGTAGTCATGATTGATGCAGGTAATGATGCACTCACAGCCATTCTAAAGAAAATGAAAAACGAAAACAAGGCTCTCGGCGACCAGACAAGGGAGCATCAAGAAAGGGTCGATAATATACGAGGCGCCCCAAAGATGCTATCGAAACGAGACGTTGGTCGGTTCGTCGAACAATCGTACAATGAGGAAGCGACTCCATATGCCATACCTAAAACCTTCAAAATGCCACTGTACCTGAAGATATACGATGGTACTACAGACCCTGAAGATCACATCATCCATTATGTCACAGCGGTAAAGGGCAACGACCTTTCGAAGGAGCAAGTACCATCAGTGTTACTTAAAAAATTCGGCGAAACCTTAACGGGGGAAGCCTTAACCTGGTATTCACAACTGCCGGCGCGGTCAATAGCAACGCTCGAAGATATGGCTAACAAGTTCGTCACTGCCCATGCATGGGCTAAAAAGGCGGAGGCCAGGGTGAATGACATTTCGCCGTCAGACAATCGCCTGGAGAGGGACTCAGGGACTTTCTCGCCCGTTTCAACAGGGTGAGAATAAGCCTACCAAATGTATCACAAAGGATGGCCGTAGCAGCCTTCCAGAACGGGTTGTGCAGGAATGGGTCGAGAGCAACCAGAAAACTATTAAGCAGGCTCATGAAATACCCTCCTACCACTTGAGAAGAAATCCACATTGCCTATTGCGCCGAGGTGAGAGCCAACGAGGACGACCTTAATGGCCCGACCCAACGGTTGACGTTAGTTCAAGCAGAATCGAGGAAGGATCGTCGTAACAACGGTCGAAGAGATCAGTCGGGCCCCGTCTTAATCGAGAAAGACATCAGCCCTACGTTAGAACAGCCATCCCACTGTCTCCTCGACATACGGAAGGGCCGGCCAGGCCGCACACAGGGACTCGGCGAAACGAAAGAGGTATGACTCCACTCTTATTTGCTCACAATTTTTGTGTTTCCCCTTCAAAAGTAGTGTACGCACTAGATAAGCTTGGCACAAAGGTGAAATGGCCACAAAGGATGAAGTCCGACCCAAGTACTCGGAAGTCGAACGTCCTCTGTGAATTTCACTAGGAGCGGGGTCACAAGACTGAGGACTGCATAGCTCTACGGCAAGAAGTAGTAAACATGCTGAACCAAGGGCACCTGAGGGAACCGATGAGCGATCGTGGACGAACCAACTTTGCCCGCGGACGTTAACAACACCAAGGACCTCCAAAGCCACCCTCCCCCGCCCGCACCATCCAAATGATCATTAGTGGAGGCGATGAAGCAACGATCAACCATGTGAAGTTCACCACTACACATAAACTGAAACGGCCGATCACTCACGAACGGTACGACGACCTCAGAGACAGTATCATCTTCGATAAGTCGGATACCGACGATTTGACTTTCCCTCATTTCGATGCTCTTGTTATTACTTTACGTATCTCAGATATTGATGTAAAAAGAATAATGGTAGACGACGGAAGTGGTGCGTGTATTATTCACCCTCGAGTCCTTGCACAAATGAGACTCAAAGACAAGATAGTACCGCGTTGCATAACACTAACAGGTTTTAACAATGCAGTTGAGCGAATCTTTGGGAAGATAACGCTACTTGTTCTAGCGGGGGCGTCACCCTAGAAACAACATTCCATGTCATGAACCAAGACACAACCTACAATGTGATCATAGGGCGGCCATGGATACACGCTATGAGGGCCATCCCGTCAAGCCTCTATCAAGTAATCAAGTTCCCTACTCCATGGGGAATATTCAGTATCCGGGCGAACAACGCACCGTCTAAGAATGCTATCGTATCGCCCAAGATTGCACGTACACCCAACAGCTGAAGGGAACAGACGCAGAGGCATAGTAATTACCAAAGTTGAGGACCAGATTCGACGTACAAACAGACGTCATCAGGGACCCCGACATCGTGGAAGCCGCTGAGTCAACGGTAGAAGATCTCGATCCCGTCCAACTAAACAACAGCGATAACAACAAAAAGGCTTACATCGGACTCAGAACCAGGTAAATTTCACAAGTTTTTAATTGACAATGCCGATTTGTTCGCTTTCTCCCATGCAGATATGCCGGGTATCCCGAAAGACGTTGCCATACACAAGTTGACCGTCGACCCACTCTATCCACCAGTGCGGCAAATAAGAAGGAAATTCAATGCCGCAATCAATGAGGCCATAAGCGATGAGGTGGATAAGCTCCTCACCAACGGTTCCATCCGGGAATCAAAATACCCCTAATGGGTCGCCAATGTGGTCATGGTAAAAAAGAAAAACGGGAAATGGCGGATGTGCGTAGATTTCACAGACCTAAACAAGGCATGCCCTAAAGATTCCTTTCCCTTGCCTCACATCGACCAGCTCATCGACGCAACAACAGGACACAAATTGCTAAGCTTCTTGGACGCTTACTCAGGTTACAACCAAATCCTCATGGAGGAGGAAGACCAAGAGAAAANACCCTATTTTTCAGTGCCACCCCATATCGGTGGTGACGACTTTCCCTCGAGAAGCTAGCCTTAGTCAAATCAACTCGAAGATCAACTCGACAGAACAATGGAAGTTTACATCGACGACATGTTAGTCAAATCAAAAAGGAAAGAAGACTACATCGATCATCTGAAAGAAGCCTTCGGTATATTGAGGCGGTACGACATGAAACTAAACCCCGAAAAATATGCCTTCGGCATAACCTCGGGCAAATTTCTCGGTTTCTTGGTATCACAAAAAGGCATCGAAGTCAATCCAGATCAAATCAAAGCCATTGAAGGGATACCTGAAGTGTTAACCAGCAAGAAACAGG